GGGTTTCTACTCCCACACTTGCTAAAGCGTGCCCCAGTACATACATGTGTATATTCTACACATATAATGGCTGTTTGTTTTGAGTACTTAAATGCTTCTGCACTTCTTCCTTGGCAACTTCAGCCTTCAGACACATTTCCTACCTGTCTGATTCAACATTAAACACAGAACAGTCCTGGTCTTCTTCAGGTGCTCCAAAAGAGGCAGATATTGTTAATAATGGCAATCAGGGACAGAGTTCTGAACAACTTCAGGACCTATGTCTATCTAATGTCATCTGTCTAGCATGAGTCTTGCACAGACTGTAAGGATAAATGCTAACTTGTAAGTAATGTTGGACAATGTAGTACAAAATGCCATGAGAGGCTGGCTCATGCCATTCTTTTATAAACATAGAAAATATGTCATAAACACACAGATTTTTCATCGTTTTGCACTTGAAATTTCTAGAAGAATAAATTCATATTTCATCATAGCTGTCAAGACAAAATTTGTGCAATTAATAAGATTTCAGATATATTCTAGGCAACAACCTTTTGTTGTTGTTCTGGCATCTAAAATATACAGAAATACTAGACATATCAATCTACCACAAGTCTATCAGTACAATTTAAAATTCTAGGTCACTCCTCATACATTGCTATTTCATGTACTCAGTGGGTTGTGTCTGCTTCGCTCCTTGAATACTGCCTACATTCTTGCCATGAAGTGAGATTTCCATCAGTGTGTTATTTTCCATATCAGTACATACATCTCTATACTAGGCTGTACAGACACGTAGATATTGTTTGTTTTAAATGTTTTGAGGTGATGGGATGTAAATGGTAACTTTCTTCAGAATTTTCTCATCCTGCACTCTTAGGCATATTCCAGCTTGTTGCATATTGATGCTAATTATTGTTAATGGATTATTACTGTAGGATACTTTGGCCATGCCACAGGCACCACACCTTTAGAGTGAGGTTGGTTAGGATATTAAAGGGATGGTAATAACATGGTTGTCCAGCTCAGAAAACCACTTTGGAGAAGGGAGAAATATCATTTGAGACAGATTGACATAAACCAAAAATACTTCCCCAGGGCTTATTTTTGAATGAATAACGCAGAGCAAGAGCAGCAGTGTCAGCGTTGTCACTCTGCCACCATTCAGAGACACCTCCCAGTGAAGATTGCCTACAAACATACCAATCATGACAAAAGTGGCTTTTTTCTAGTAAGAGCCAAGATGATACTACCACAAACTCCATTCACATCGGTGACAACTCTGGGTCCCTACTGTATCAAATAAGTGCCCTGGACCTGAAAGGTGTTGCGTGCTTTCACCAGCCCCCTCAGCAGCCCCAGACACAAGGATTTGAATTCAGAGCTCACTATACATTAATCCGGTTTGAATTGCTTACAGTGCTAAAGTCTAAATTAATTAGAACCTTTCAGGAAGGAGACAAGAGCTCTGCTGTAAACAGATCAAATACAAAAGCTTCAGATCAACACACAACTGCAAATAAAGAGGCAAACAATGTTAGGATTATGGGAGAAGGAGGGGAAAAGATGACTTCTTAAGACTCTCAGCCTTATTTTCTGTAGTGAAATGATACAGAAAGAATAAAAATAATGCTAGCATGCCTTTTTATTATAGTCATTAGTATGCCTTCAGATGAAATACTGCATTTAGCTCTGGGCATCTTATTTTCAAAGATAATAGAAGAAACTAAGTGCTTCAGCAAGATGCCAACATGAAGACATATGATGAAGATACAGAAAATAATCAGTGGTATAGCCACAGTCAGCCAAGGGTCTGGTATACCTTCATTCAGCGAAGTAGAGAAGGTAAAAGGCAGAAACATTTAAAGTAATAAAATTGTCAGGTTATCCTCTGAAACTCATCACTATAAGGCATTAAGAGCAAAACTTAAATGTTTATATGAACAGGAAGAACACCCAAGTTCCACAGCAGAAATAAACAAAAACAAAACATTTCCTTCAGGGGGAACACTAAACTTCATACTCGGGTGGGCTACCCACTGACAGCCATTGCAAAAATGCCTCCCCCCAGAGAAATGTCACTGTGTGATGATTCAGAAAAGAGCTTCTTAAACCTTGCTCTGGAACAGCACGTTGCCTAACCTAGGATACTGGACTAGATACTAGTGCTAGTTCATTTTGGCTAGGGCATTATCTATCTTCAGTAACATGGTGGAAGATAACTCAATATCAGCAATTTTATCTTTCTTACCCACTGGTAAGCAGGAGGAGGTACAGAGCTGCGTAAGTCTGTTACAGGGATTATGTGATTAAATTGCCTACAAGAAGATGGGACATGATTCACTGGTGAGCTAGGACCCTTCTGGTCCTGAATTACTAACCACACGTGGTACTGGAAGGGGAAAGAGTTTTTAGATTTCTACATTAGAGCCATGATCACCATTGAAGAAAACCAGCATCAGTTATGCCTGAATATCAACCAGTTTGGTTCTGCATGCAAAGCACAAATTCAGAAGGAACTCCACACCTTTAAATCTGAGCTCAGGAAAAAAAAAAAAAAAAAAAAAAAAAGATGCAGTGATGCTTGACAGAGTCTAAGCCACTGGCAAGACAGCTGTGCTTATTAAAGGCAACAAAATATGAAATTCATATTAATTTTTTGTTTGATCAGAATTTGAATTTCATATTAGTTATGTTTGTTCAGATTTAGAAGCATCTGTCATCCGAAACCACCAATCAATATTTTATTCATCACAAACTATTTAAATCCATTGAGAAACAACCTGAAGAAACAACACAGACTTATTTAAAAGTGTCACAATTAAATATAGAGCTCAGCCTTTCCCAGTTAATGGGCTTCTGAGAGTTTTTGTTGTTGCTGTTTCCACTTTAAATCCATATCCGAAGGCAAACTGCTTTTGCTGGCTCAATTTCCTTATGGTGGTCATTTTATTTTTATTTACTCATAGCTACAAGTACAGAGAAAAGCATTTCCAGGCATAAGAATGAAGAAACTAAAACTGCACAAGACCATTCGTAGTCTTAGACTACCTAAACACCGTATCACTGCACAAGACATTGAAATAAATGCGAGCTCCTGTGGAGTAAGTCAGTATTTCAGTAAATGTAAGACTATTTCAACTCAGCCTCGACTGCCAAATAAGCGTTGTGCCACCGAGGAATTACTACAACCACAATCACCAGTCTCCTCCAGAACCTTTCTTCTATTGCCCGTCTTGCCACAGAAGTTTCTATCTTGAATATTGAGATTGTCTGAAGGGTAAAGAAAGTTAAGCCACCAGGTTTGAATTCCTGATAAGCCATTCTCAGGTCCTGGAGCTATGCCGGTAGTCGCAGATTTTACCGATTATTTGAATTACCAAGTAGAAAACTTTAAATACTCGTTACTCTTATTTTGTAATTGCATTAATTAGTATATTTTTGTTGGTGGTATACACCCTTATTTTCTCTTTGTTAACCAAATACACTAATTAAGGCTTTATTTGAGTAGTATACGATGATTTTGAGTCTTCAGGTTCTTGGAGTTGGACTCCTGTGAAGAGCATTTTTCGTGTTTACCAGATGTGCATGTGTAATTTCTCTCAAATGGAATTAGATCAAAAATCCTGATTCACCCCAAATGCACAACACAGCATTTGAAGTTATTTTACAAGTTAAAGAAAAATTTTCAACCTGCTGAATACCTGAAGAGAAATTTTTGTCAACTCCAATTCTCTGTTCAGAAATGTCTAGTTGATAAAGAACTGTTCTCATCTAAAAGCAGCAAACCAACCCGATTGTCTCTTTCAGCTGCTGTCTCCAAGTTTTTAATTAGTCTGATCCTCCTAATCAAATCTGGGAGAGAAAAGCAAGATTTTCTGCTTTTTCAGTACAGGTCAGTTTCTCAGCTTAGACTTAAATATTACTGAATTGAACTGTTTGAAAAGGCCAAAATAAGGGATTTTTTGTGTGTGTGCTTGCAGAAAAACACTAATCCTAGATTAGAGCCTCAGTAACCTATGATTTCAAACACACAGTGACTTCAGTGGTTTCAGTCTTGAAGATATTGACAGCAAATTAATAAACTCAGTGTTTAAAAGAACTAAAAGTATTTTTTTTTCACTGAGCTAAGGGTTTAGCGTACACTCATATTTAAGGATTTTTTTTAATATGCATTTTCAAAAGAAAATGTTTAATTGCAATTTTTAAAATAATTTTGAATCACCTGCTTTTTATTCTGCTTACCATTAAGTTTAATAAGCGTATCATCTGAATTATTGTTCATTATCATACAGGCCAAGAAAGAGGGAGGAAGAAACATATTTTTAGAAGTCTTAATTTTGGCTAGTCAGTATTGTTCTCATGGTTTGCTTTTATCAGATTGACAATGAAATTAAGGGTAGAACATTAACGGAGACAGAAAACTTTGTAGTTTTCAAAAGTATCAGCAGAACAAGTTAAACCCTTGGCTTGATTTCTGAAACAAGCCCAGCTTGCACTTGTCCTTGTTGCTTTTGTGGGGTGGAGGTGGGCTCCTTAGTGTTGCTGTGCAGACAAACGCTTACCCAGAATGAAAACACTAACACAAAAGAAACATCCCTTAATGTCGATGACTTTTCTCTGGAGTCATCTGTGGGATTCAGCTTTCCCTGGGGTGGCATTAACGAGTTCACTTCCACACCCAACTGCATGAGCATCTCAGGACCCAGGGTGCAAGCATGCAAGCAGATGGCAGCCCGAGAGGTGTGCTCCCACCTGAACCTGAAGTAGTTCAAATCTACTTTACAGATTATGCATTCACTGCGCCTCCCCTGCCAAAGTGCAGTTGTTATCAAGAGAAGCTTCATCCTGCTGTGCTTTGTACAACACTGCCTGCCAGCCCCTTGCACCTCGAAGCTATCCTGTTGTTAGCAAGCTCTTGGTACAGCCACTGGTTCTTCTGCCCCCGGAGAAGTTTTCAGCTTTCTCACAGTACAAGATAATAAACACAACTAGATTCCTGGGGCTGCAGCACGTACCTTGTTGGATCCTCTGGGAGGCAGAAGCAGCAGACAGTCCATCTGGAAGGAGAGCAGTGAGGTGTGTGTGAAATAATAAGAGGGGGGAAAAGAGAGAGACAGGGGAAGAAAGCAGGGCTCTGCTCAGAACTAGGCTCAGCAAACAGGGACTGTACCACAAAACAGGGCTGATAAAGAAAGAAAAGAATATTAAGGTAAGAGTTGTCCCAGAAAACAAAAAAGGAGCAAATTTGAAAGAGCTGAGGGGTAGGTTAACAACAGCAAATATCAAGGCATACCTGCCGTGTGGGCCTTTGTATAGCCCTAGAAGCACATTCATAGTGCTGCACAAGCTCCCAAAAATTCACGAGCCCTTTCTTGGTGTGTGTCTGCTTCATGCTTGGGAACTTCATGGTGCTTGCAGGCAATTCATAGTTTCAGTAGTCCCCAGTACTAGGGACTGGGGCACATTTGGTAGATACCTACAGCAGATGATCTGGTTTAGTTTCCTCTGAAAGCAATCTAGTTCATCTAATTCACAGCTGCTCTGTGATGCAAATAAATGTGCAGTAAGTGATGCCAGCTGGGAGATCTGCTTCAGAAACACCCTCCTGCTTCAAAACGGGCTATCAGTGAATCCACCAAATGACACATCACTGGGCCTTCCTCCCACCTGCACCAGCATGTGGGTCCTGCCACAGGGCACGGAGAGGAAGAGGAGGAATGCAGCTTTAATTACAGCATCACAGGGAGTCCAACCTCCCAGTTTCACGTGCTGTGAGATGGGAGCCCTTGGTATCCACGTTGCACCTGCCTCTTTTGGGACGTTCATTCTGGCATTTCCTGAACAAATCTTTTGGAAGCCATTCAAAATATTTGTGCATGTAATTAAATGCAGAACTCCACAGTAGCACGGGGGTGCTGATCTTAAGAAAATTCTCCTTTCTTACACGCAGGCAGATGGGGGTGTGCAAGGAAGCAGTGAGACACTATTGATCTGCACGATAAGCAGCATGCAGAGGGGAAACCACAGGCACAAAATATGGGCTCCAGTTACAAAAAGGTTCCACTGATAAATATTTTATAAAGGTTAAATGACTATAACATGCTAGAAAGATGGTGTGGTTGTAAGATTTACGTGTTGGAGCTGACGGTATCATTAGAAGGTTTAATGGACAGTTAAAGGCAACGATTAGAAGCAACCTATTGGACTGTAATTGCTGATTTGCCTTTTACTCAAATATCTATTAAGTCTTTTATTAACCCTCTGTATGACCCTCACTATAAATTCCGATCACAACGATTCCTGGGTTTCGGTCCTATCCACTTGACAATCTTCCCTGATTAGAAAACCCATTGTAGTCAGTGCTTGTAATTAAGCGTTATCAATACACTCAGTTATGCCACCGAAAGAAAACCGAAGTTTACTGCAGGGCTTTCCAATAGTTAAGCTCTTGGCCACCTGGGAGGACAGCATTGCTTACAGAAGGCACATTTCAAAGCAGTTTACAATTAGTTCCTTCTTCCTGCTATTCCAGTTTACTGGTGCTCCCCCCTTTTCCTTTCGCCGCGTTCCCCTTGGGATATATGGAGTCAGTAACAGTGAATAAAGTGATACAATTAAATTAAACGCAGCAAGCTTCAGCAGGCACAGCTCCTGATCCTGCGAGATGCCAAGTGCTCTCGAGCCAAGACCAGGTACTTAGAGCTCTCCTACAAAAGAAACAAGCAGAAAAGACAAAGGACTAAACTCATTAGTATGGAAGAGGCACAAAGAGGGGCACCTCTCCCCTCACCTACAGGACTACTACCGAATCACTGAAACGGCCAATTACCCAGGACATCACTGCAATATCAATTCCCATCCTTGCCTCCCGTTGTCCTATGAAAATCAATGATGATACCATCGGTGCATATTGGCTTTCATGTACTTTGGCACTCCTATCTCCCCAAACTGCTGAAGCCAGTAATTGATATTACAGTCTGTTCTTTATAGGATGCTTAATAACGAAATAGGTTTTTAATGAGCCCAGTCATACCCCATTGTTTTATTTATTTTTTCATAAAGCCAAGTAATGCTAAGGGAGCTGCCGAGGATGACTCCACGGGCCACATTCACAGCAATGCCTGCTTTTCCTGGCATTGCCAAGGAGCAGACTTTCACTTTTATGACACCATTCATACGTAGATTTTGAAGCACTTTACAAACACCTCCCGTAAGGAATAATCAGACAAGTGGTAGCAAAATGAAATTCAGAGCCCTCGGAGTCACCTGCAGGATGTTCACAGTAGCCCTATCTGAGCAAAGCTGAGCAAAGGACAAGTTAATACAAACCTGAGACTAGTATCTATTCAATAACTACCATTCCCAGAATAATTTCAATCACAGCTTTATACCCTCAGTAGGTGAGAATCCTTGGGGAATTCTGAACAAAAATTCCTGAGCCAAATGAATGTATTTTGAAAAGCCACATCACCGTCAGATCTAGGCTTCGTACAGTTTGTGAAGGGTAAAGAAAGCAGCGAGCACAGCTCAGGGTTCCCTTGTCTGACCCCCAGAAATCAGCCTGGTGGCTGCTGCGTGTGGGAGCAAACCCCCTCGGGGGGCTGAGGCACCCGTATCACACCCCAGTCATACCCCCAGTCCCACAGCCCAGGAGTAGGGAACGACACAGGGCTACTCTATCACCTGTGGGGCACCTGGAAAGTCTCTTCCATCAGTGAGCTAAAGTGCCCCGGCCATGGACCAGGCTTTAGGGCTGCTCACCCATTGCCTCAGAGGTGGCAATGCAATGAGAACACTTTGCTGGGTCTCTGAACTCTTCAAGCTGCCCCGGTTGCCTCTGTAAGGAGCTGCCAGAAGCACATGCCTACAGAGTGATCGATCTGGCATTTCCTTCCATTTTGGAAAAGGAAAGAAAGCAAGCCGCGGGACTTTGCCAGAAGCAATTCTAATGGCAGCAAAGTTGGCTAAAAGAGAATCTCTAGAGCCTGTGGCAGCAGTCCACATTGGTTATTTTTCTTAATTCCAGCTCATAAATCCTGTAAGCACTTTACATCAACATTAATTGGAAGTCAGAGGTTCACAGTACCCCGCAGGAATTAACGCTACCAGATCAGCACAAAGCCTTCCACCACGCTGCATAAGCATTTCAGCCCCACAAAAAGCCTCAAAACTTTGTTTTTATTTTGGGGCAAGCAGAATTTTATGAGCAAATACAGATCTTCTGCTTCATCTTGTTCCATTAACTACAACAAGGCTCTTCAGCCTCTCTCCTCCCAGATTACTCTAATTCAATGCCAGTCTCCAGCCACTGCTGCCAACATTTTGATACCCAGTACAAGTTCATTTAAGCCTCTTAGTGGGAGCAGTACAGCATTGAGGACTTTAATTTTCTCTCAGTCTTACATGACTAATGGAGTCTGAGTGAAATTCCAGCTGTTTACTTCACGTTTTAACAGCACTGTTCATCTCAGATGGCATTTTACAAAAAAACAGCACTTACAGTCCATACCCAGTATGAGGCCAGGGCGTGCTGTGTGCAGAACAACTAGTGAGAAGATACTTCGTGATCCTAAAAGTTTGCAGTCTAAATAGGGAAGGAATGGGAGGGTGAAGCAAACATCAGGGACTTGTGGATTAGCAGATCAGCAGCATGGTCGAGTCCAGAATCCAGCTGAGAGTGTCAGTCTTGTGTCCTGTATGCTGCTACTGAGGCATTAGCAGAGCTCTGCGGTACCTCTGAAGGATCAGTGCTTCCATGCAGATCAGGAGAGCTGATGCAAGGGCTAACCAAGAATCTCCCACAAAAGCCCACGCAATGACTTCCAAATCTCAAGCTTCTTTCCCATCTCCTCCATCTCTCCTACACCTCAGAAGGATGTCACGTCCACAGATTGAGGTATATTATGGAATAGGTTAATTACAGAATAATTTAGGTTGGAAGTGATCACCAAGCTCGAGCTCCTCCTCAAAACAGGGCACATCCCAAAGTGAAATCAGGTTGCTCAGGGACTGAACAAGTTACAGTACCTGCAAGGACAGAGACTTCACAGCCTCTCTGGGCAACCCACTCCAGTTTTAGGCACCCTCACTGTGAAATAAAATTACCTCACATTGTACCCATTGCACCTTGTCCTGTTTTCAGGTTCCATCCCTCTCTCTATATCCCTCCTTGAGGTAGTGGAAGACTGCAAGTGGATCCTCTTTTAGCCATCAGTTGTCCTGGGTAAACAAGCATGGCTCTCTCAACTTTTCCTTATGTTTTCTAGCCAGTTGGCCCCCAGCCTGTACTAATTCATGTTGGCAAAACAGTGCCTTTGCCTTGTGAACCTCGTTGATGTTCTTCTGAAGTGAAGCTCTGCTCCAATCCAAGCAGCAACTGCTCCCCACCCCACAATTTGGTTTCATCCACGAACTTGCTGAGGGGATGTGTTGCCCCTTCATCCTGATGAAGATGTTCATCAGAATCAGCCCCAGTGCTGATCGACTGAAGCTGCCTGCCAGTTTGACTCCAAACCATTCATCAAACCATTCATCATCATTCCTTGAGTCAACAGTCCAATCTTCCATCCGCTATCCCATACACATACCCACAGTTTAGCTTTGGACAAAGATTGCTTTGGAGATCATGTCAGAAGCCTTGTCACTGTAAACAACACCCACTGCTATTGCTTCATCCACAGAGATGTCACTTAATTCTAGGAGGTAATGAATTGGTCAGGAATCACTTGTCTTGCTCAGTTTGTGCCGTTCTCAATTATCTTCTTGCTCTTTGGATGCTTGGGAAGTCGCTTCCAACATGACTTGCTCCATAAGTTCTTCAGCGACTGAGGTGATGCCGCCCAGCCTGCAGTTCATGGAGTCCTCCTCCTTGCGTTTCTGTAGACCCTCATTCATTTAAGAAACTTGTGGGAGGCTGGATGGGAAGGAAAATTTGAGTAATGAGAATGAGAAGCAGCCCAGTGGAACATGAAACCACAAAGTCCTTACAGTGTTTCCTTTGCTTTATTTGGTAGCGGGGGAGAAAGAGTATCCTGAGCTGACACCTGCCGTGCCAATTTTCCACCTGGAATGCTATTAACAGCCAAAGTACACAGCGTTGGAAACAGAGTTATTAACTGCCAGATCTTTCCTGTGGTGTCACACAGAACACTACAACCAAGCAGGTATCTGGATAGAACTGAAACAAGGAAATATTTCTGCTCCTTCAACTCCCGCTGTAGACTGGAAGATACTTCTCTGTAAAACCTGATGTTCACAAAGAAAATCAGGAAAGATACTTAAATGTAGAAAGGAAACTGAATGCCAGATTCTCATCTCATGACAATTTTCTTTTCCTTTGAGAAGTCCAGCTCCTGTTAGCTAATAGTGTCTCCTCCTGCTTTCAGTCTGTTAGCTGAGTGCACAACCAACACGAAAGAAGAGTCAAGACCGGTGCGTATAAAATTAGCATTACAATCTGGTGTTGCTGGTTCTGATAGAACAATAAAAACAACTTTCCTCTAGAAAACATTATGAAATTTAAAGTTAATAGGTATATATTTACAACCAAACCCATCTGTATTACTCTGAGTACACTCAGACAGAGTCTGCAGAGAGAAAAACTGGAAGACACTACAGCACTCAACTCAATAAATCAAACAAGGTGTTCATTTTAGCATTAATACCACTTCAGTGGAATATTTATTGGAAAATTTGTAAGTACATATGAGCTGAACTATGCTTAAGAGCTGCAGGAGTGTCTGTCTGTGTAGGTAACATTCCCTTCTCAGAGCTCATACAGCATTTGACACCCTTACTTTTTTTGCCATAGATCTTTCCTAGGCGTTCTGGTCACCTCTAGTTTAGCAGCCATTTTCTCTCTTAGACGCCTTTCTAAGGTATCAATATTTAAAGAAGAAGAAATAAAAGAAAATCAGAAATGGATGGCCTGGGAGTGACTGCTCCTTTCACAGGCGTTAGCTTAATCTAGATAATTTCCCAGGAAGATTCAGTAACATGTATAAAATCAGTCAATATTTAGTCCAGAGCATGACATTTAAAACAACATGGGTTACCCAGGAGCCAAGTCTTATTGACTTTCCATGACATTTATTCTTCCTAATACCTCAGTTGATTTAGAAAGTGGAACTTAGTAATTTTTGTAATGTAGTACAGTTTCTTCCCCTCCAAATCTCTCTGTGCCTTGTATGGGCTTAGTGAATGATATTTTGAAGTATTAGGCATGATTATGACATTCTTGCCTTACATCTAATCTGGCTTAGACCTGTGCAGTTTGCATCTGCTTCTTTGGTTTATGAGACTTTCTGCCAACATTGTTGTGGTACAAAACTGACAGAGACAAGCAAACACAACTTGATTTTCAGCAGCTGTCTGGAGCAGCTTAAGGTGTTACTGCCCTAAAAGCTGCTTATTGCCATCTCCTGGCTGGAAGCTGGGAGGAAGGAAGATGCTCCTCTTGAATCAAAGCCAACAAGCCAGAATGTGGGAGGCCTCCTCGTTTGCTCCAGGGCAAGGTCAAAGCCTTGAAGCGTGCCGGTGGTGGCTGGCGCTACGCTGGCTGATTTTGCACTGCACCATGCCCAGCCTGACTCCCTGCAGCTGGTGTGCTAACCCCCAGCTGAGCAACGGGTTTGTCGCTTTGGCCACCTTCTAGGCAGCACGTCTGTCCATATCTCAGTGTCTCCACGGCCTGATGTAAAGGCACTGGGTCAGCCATGAACCCAAACTGACAAAGCAGGCAGGGCAGTTTTCTGCAGAGGCTAACACCTCAGAAAGCATTGTGCTAATTGCTGGTAAATGCCACCTTAAGAACAAATCAAAGGATGTCTACTACAGAAAATCTGCCTGTGTACACACCATACAACCATCAGGTTTCACGTGGTAGTTATCATATGGATAGCAAAATCCCTTTACCTATTGTGGAAAGATCCCAAAGACCCATAGCTCTGCAATCCAGCAATTTAAAACAAGGCAGAAGAAGTGTTCACTGTTAGTAACTCATAACAGAAGTCCTTTGTATTCACATGCAACCAGCACCACAACCCCAATCTCAAAGATACAGAAAAAAATGAGCATATTCGTAATGCTAGAAGTCAGTCTACTATTCCAAAATTAGACTCAAGGATAAGTTCAGGCCACGATTCACATTCACGTTGCAAAAAAGTGTGCTAGCATAGGTATTATTAATTTACACTGGCTGTCACCATCCCTCGCCTCCAAACCTTTGTTGGGAGAGGAAACAAGTAAATGCCTCTCCTTTCCTTCTGTGCAAAGCTGGCAGTCTCTTTGCCGGGACAAAGGTTCAAAAGCATCTGTACAAAGCTGAGCTTCTCATTAAGCAAAGATTCCTAAATTAAACTCGGTGATTAAAATTTGTGTGGAGAAGAAAAGCCTGTAAAACATTTAAAACAGCAACAACGCTATTAAAGCAATTTCACGTTAGAACTCAAGTTAACACTGAAAGAAATAATAAGCTTACTAAGTCAAACCCTTCCCTGCAATGCCTGAATTGCTTTCAAGTGAACTCTTCATGACAGCATGTGACTTAATTAGGAAGCTCCACATTTTAATTCAACATTCACAGCCTGCAAAACTATCAAAAGGTGTCCATCTATTTATTTTATATAATTGCTTCGAATTTAAATGAAACTGGTAGAATACAAATAGAGGCTCCGGCTTGGTTACCGTGAAAGCGCTAATAGACTCTGCAGGCATTTTCCAATCAAGAAGTAATGGCTTGAGTCGATCCTAACATCATGCACAGCAACGTTTCTGGATTTTGTTTGTCTGTTTGTCTCTTCTAGGAGAGACTGCCAACTTTATTAAGTGGGTAAGGAACTCTGCTCGCTGGATTTTTTTTCCGTTTTATTTTCAAAGTGGAGCTCTGGGGTCGCATTTATATACAAAAATAAACATTACAAGTAGACTTCATAAACTGCATGCTGGTTTGGTTTGGTTTGTTATTTAAGAAAAATCTTTAGAAATAAGATAGGGAGAGAAATTTGACAGAGGCAGATTTGATCTTTGCCTTTATCTATAATTAATGTTGTTAGAGTTTAGTTTTTTTAGCGCACTTATTGATTTGTAAACTCCAAACAGCACAACACAACTGGGTTGCATCCGACATTCTTCTGCGGCAAGATATCACTGGAACCATTACAGGGATCAATTAACACAGCCGGATCAGACCTTTGTGAAACAGGGAATGTGGCTCTGCTAAAAGCCAGCCCACTCAGGACATAAATTTTGCATACTGACAAAAGAAGAGCGGAGTGCTGTGGCTTCTTACCAAATACACCCCACAGAAATAAAAGAAACTCACTGGTTTTGTGAGACATTTTCAGACAAGAAATCAATCAGCATCACATAACCAAAGCAAACTTTAATTCGGGATATGCAGCGAGTCAGAAGGCATAAAAGGTGAGTCTGCAACATTAACGATCTCAGGTGGAAAGGCACAGAACCAACATAAAGACATGAGCTTCCAGGAGCCACCTCTACCAGGACACTAACAGTAAAGATGATATTTCCATAGATGCCCAATCAACAAAATCTGAGATTTTCATGGGAGCAGCAGGAAGGAAGCCTCCTTGCTTTCCAAATCGCTACTGAAATGCACCAAGGAGAAAAGCAACAGGAGTACAGAGGAGTGATACGCACCCAGCCCAGCTTTCCAACTCCTGTTCTTGTGAACGTATTATAATGCTGCAGTCGAGATGGAGAATTTATGCTTTCTAAAATCTCAGCTGAAAGACCCAGAGACATTGAACTACATGAACTGTGAATCTGTGCTCAAAAAATGAAGGAAAAAAGCTATCCCTAACAGGATTTAAACCAAGGAATCAACAACCTGAAAGTGTCAAAACTCGCGCTGCCATCCATTTGTGACCCTTGGGGAGTCTTAATAGAGTTTGAGGTCAAAAGGAGTTGAGAGTGCTTTTATTTCCACACAACAGCACAGTTACAGAGTTTTACTTCATTTTAAAACAGGGAACTGCAGTCCTTTAAAGCAAAGGGCTCAGAAAGCTTGCCTTGAACGTATGAAGCTTTCGTAGTCCCCTGCCATCCTTCTAGCAGCCCTGCTCTAGCTGAGGCTGAATAGAGCTGTTAAATCAGCGTACGTGTCCATGCGACCTTCAGCGTGGAGTGGTTTTTCCTGCAACCATGAAGTGTCTGCAGTGGTGACAAGTTATTCTCTGAGTAAGCTGGGGTGTGTATATATCACCAGCTGATACGAGATTTCACGTAGTAATCTCACCCTGCTCAGCGGAGTTAGCGTGACATCTGCTGCTTTGTGATATAGAACGGAGTAAAATTGAGTTTTATAATGTAAGTGCTGACAAAAACTGTACGTGAAATACCACTCGTGCAATGAACACAGGGCAAACAGAGCCACCATTATGGGCTCGGTAATATCTCATACACAGTCCTTGATTTTCAGAATTAATTTCACTGGGAAATGGAATGTTTGACAAGACACGGAGGGGACTTTTAAGAGGGCTATTGGCAGAAGCGACCTCAATTTAACATATCAGCTGAAAGATAGTACCCCTCATCGCGTAGCTGCTTCTAAAATCAGTCTTCAGTGACAGCGCCAAATAAGAATCAAAGTCCTGGGGCAAAACTACAAACAGCCTCATAACTTTCTGCTTCAAAAGTGAGTCCATAGCGGCAATTAATGCTCTGCCATAGCCAGGGACTTCACGGATGAATAGAAATTCATCAGGACTTGCAAGTAATGTAGAGACATTTTTCCATTGGACAAAACTAAAAGCTCTTTCAGCTTCAAACCTCCCCAGAAATTCTTCTGCAAAGGTCTTTTCCATCCTAAAAGATTCTAGGATTCTTCATCTCCAAGGAAGAGGCACCAGTCTTATTTCACAAATAACCCAGCCGAGGCTGAAGGACACGCAT